TAATTTAATTCAACCATTCAGTCTTCAGTGAATGAAGTAGAAGCTTCTCCAATCGTGAATAACGCATTTTCTTACGAAACAATTGAAGCTGAACATTTGCAAGAGACTGAAAAGTCGATTTGGTGAAGAAAAGTCGAGCGACATAGGCAATGGAATTTTTTTAATTTCTCCCATAACGTGTAAAGAATGAACCGTATTTTCCACATCAAAAACCTGATCAAGAGAAGGTCAAGGAAAGATCATTCTTGCATCTTAATGCACGTCCGCATATCACCGCTCATATCAAAGATCTACTTCAAAATCTGGAACTATTCTGGTTCATATTACATTTTTTGAGTTTTTAGTGGGGAGAACATTTTCGTTTGAGTATAGATATCAATAAATCCAAGGGCTTGCAAGTAGGTCCGGTCCTGTAATTCATGTTCAACATAATAATACCTAGGAATGTATATTCGGTTGTAAATAGTTAGTTGCCTAAATTTCATTTAATTCCCTCAAGTGGAAATCTAGATGTTTGGAAAAAAACATATTTTATTTTAAAACTTTGACACCCAATGTTGATATGAAAAAGGTTAGGTTTAGGTTAGGAATCTGTCCCACAGCATTGGCCCATGTTTTCTGAAACACCCTGTATATCATAAACCAATATTTAGACCTCGATTTAGACAAACTTAATTACCTGACAAAAAGTATTCATATTTTTCTGTCACATTATGCTTCTGGCACACACTTCTGATCTGCTCTTTTACTATCGAGATGGGCTTATTAATCTATGTTATTGTAATTGTTAAGTGTTCTGTAAAAGTAAATAAGTAAAAATGCACAGGGTGTTCCATTTAACACAATAAAATTTTCGGTTATATCTGACAACAGTACAATTACGTCGGACATTTTTTACCCCTTAATCGTTTATTCGAGCCAAAAAATGATGTGTGTTTCCAGAAGCAATATTTTTTTGATTTTTTGTAAAAAAAATTGAGTAAGTCATATCGATATTCGACTGTTATTACTTGAAAACTATAAACCTATAAAAGTCTTTAATGACATTAGATTATCAAAAGAATAGTGACTAATTCAAAGTTATAATCTTGAGTTGGGCCACCATTTTTGAATATAATATACCCATATAATTTTGTTTTCATATTTTAATATTATGTATTTGGTTAATTTTGTACTTTACGCTTTAGGTCATAAATTATTTATGATTAATATTATTGCTAATTATTACTATTATTGTAAGCCATTATCATTATAATTAGCCATTCAAACTGATATGTTTAAAACAATAAAGTACTTTTAGTTTCGTGAATATTAATTCATAATAATTTGTTTTACATATTGGAAAAATATTATTAAGTTATCGTTAAATACATGATAGAAAAAAAAATCTAAATAAATATTTCCTTAATAAAATATTAAAACATTTAATTCACTCTTTTTAAATTAAATATATTTTGTTTCTTCAAATTATTATGAATATTTTTGTTTTGTCAAATTTAAAGAATCTGTACCTATTCAATAGAAACGATTTTTATTTTTTTTAAGTATAAATCTGAATCTAAATCGAAAAATCTTTGATTTGACTATGAAAATATGAAAATTATCCTAAATGCAAAGATAATTTAATTTAAAATTTAATAATTATTAAAAAATCCTTGAATATTTAAATAAAAAACAGGTCGTTTGAGAAGAAAACCATCAATTTTTATATAAGTAATAAATTTTTCTGAAAACCCATATTTTTGTTTGGTATTTTCTACCCATTAAAATTGCTAACAAAACCCTGTGAATTACAGAAATACATAAGTAACGGATGCGAATATTTAATGGAATAATTTAGTATCTTAAAATTGTTTGCTGGCCTAAACATTAAATGTACTAGTACCAATTAATTAGTTCCCATTTTGTATGCTTCTATTAGTTTATTATTAACCCAACCCTTTCGATTTATACATCACGAACGAAAAAAAAAAAATCTTAAATCTTAAAAGTAGTCTTAAACATTAAAAAGGTTTTTGAAAAAAATAGATTATACGTTTTTATGAGATAAGTACGTAGTAATAATTTTAGCACTTAAATATGGGATACCCTGTATAATAAACATACATAACTTAATACTGGTATTTTTTTTAAACCATAGGTAAAACCCGTTTGGTCTAAAATGGAGAATCACTTAATTTAATCTCACAAAGATAATTAGATAATAATCAACTTTTTAACGGTGGCCGTAGTTGTTTCTGATCTCATACAATCGTATAATATTTCATACATGTGTGGAGTTATTTTATTTGTATTTTATTAAATACATGAGAAATCGTCTAACATATCTTGATAAGTACATAACAACTTAATAAATGGTATTAATGGAAGTTATCGCTTTTACACACCAATATCTTTGATCGGCAGATAAATATTAGATGGAACTACCATTACTGTATCAAATAGTATAGTTGTTTATGTGTAATGGACACTTTTAAAATTACATTAATGCATTTATGATTTAGCAATTATTAATACGCAGAATTTGATTTTATCAGAAATCAGTTCCTGAAATCGGACGTGTCATTGATATAAGATGTAAAACATGTTTTCTAAATTTGAAAATCAGTATAATCTCATTTTATTTTTAAATCGCTTTAGATTCCAGAAAGCGATGTGACATGTAAAACATTTTATACAAATTTAAAAATGTGGGAAAATTTGTATAATCTCATCTTTTTAAAATAAAAATAAATAAATACCTATACAAATTTAATTGAATTAAGATAATAAGTTTCAATATAGGTATTCTACTTGTATATTCATTTATATTTTGACGACTATTAAGGGGTTTGTTAATTGTGATAAAAAAAATTATACAAAAGATTTTGAGATTTCTGTATGCTGTTTTTTGGACTAATTAAAATAAATATACAAATGTCAGAAAGTAGTAAGGGAATAGGCCTCCTTTTGAAATATACTTAGTAAATGAAAACCAGTGTTGCCAGATGAAAATTTCTGTCAACAGTAGGAATGTAGCCAAAAAACAGGAGATTTCTTTTTTCAACAGGAGATTTTAATAAATATATTTTTTAATAGAGGAACACAAGTACATGCACAAAATATAGCGAAATATATAAATGTAGGAGTTCGTTTAAGGCCGGTGTCCCATGCATCCGAATTCCGACGATACGAAGGTCCGAAAGTGTTCCTATTGGTTAATATACATTCAAATTTTGACCGCTCATTTTCATCCGAAATTTTTTAAATTCACACGACGTCGGAAAAAGTAGAAATAATTTTAACTTTTATCCGAAATCGTACGTTTTTAACCTCACTTTTTTACTTCATAACATGCTATGATTGTTGTTTGGTATATTAACAGTCAAATAAATGTTATATTATAATGTCGAATGTAGAAAATATAATATTAAGTATATTTTCTATAATATATACCTATGGTTGTCATTTGAAAATGTTTCATCTTCATCTTGTAATAAATTCCATGGTTCTGTACTTGATTTCTATGAGATTAATTTCGGATGCGTGTGAATTATAATATTATCGTACGTATGAATTAAAATATTTTCGGATATCGTACATCGGAATTCGGATGCATGGGGCACCGGCCTAATAGTTGACAACTGTCAAAATAATAAATTCCGGAATCCTGCTGAAGTAAATGAACGAAACGAACTCGCCTTCTATTCTGTTATGCCCAGTTCATATAAACGCGAATTGAGGATTTAAAATTTAAATATGTACATGAACTGGGCTACAGAAAATATAACAGGACTGAAAATATTGACAAGTGACGAACACAGTGCCGTTAGAGAACAGTGTCGTACTAAAATATTCTTATTCTGGGGAAAATTAGTATAATCAACAGAAGATTTCATAGGGAAACCAGAAGAATAGATATTGAGACTAAAAACAGGAGATCTCATAGTGAAAACAGTAGAACAGGAGAGTGAGAGTGAAAACAGGAGATCTCCTGTTAAGATCTGGTAACACTGATGAAAACCCAAGTGATTTCCGCTCGAACCAGAGTCGGATAGTGATAGTGGGGGAAGCAGCGAGCGGAGGACTCCGACTCGAGCGTACTTTCGATCGTTTCGGGCGAACCTAGGCGAAAATCCGTGATATACAAATTGGAGATTTTGTCGTCTACTTTCAGATGCCGTTGTTTTCAGAATTTAAATCGGACCATTTTTGATAAATCGCCACGCTGTGCAAAAAAGACCCTAATTTTGTTTATAATGCAATTGTGCAAAAACAATACATCGGACAGAAACCATCTTGCGCACGATTAATTATAATTCTCTACAAGTCTTATTGAGAGACGATTCCATCATTATTTTTCGATATAAAAAAAAACAAGAAAATGTAATTTTTGCAGTTTTTATTGTTTGAAAAAAAATTGTTCACGACTTTGCTGGGAAAATCACTTGGGTTTTCATTTACTAAGTATTTTTCAAAAGGTAATACATGAAATTTGCTGTAATATTTAAGTGTGTCAAAAATCTCTATTGCTTGTCGTAGAAAGGGAAATATGACCAAGAAAGTGTTCCATAAACCTAATGGTGTTAGGAAAAGGATATTATTTAGTTGCTAAGCCATTGAATCTTTGCCCAACATATTTTAAGATATACTATTTTGTCCGTATCTCGCTTATTATTTGAGATCTATGAAACCATATATTATTATAATCCTAAAAAAGTGTCATATCTACACATATGTAAAAAATGCATGGTACTCTAATTAAAAAAAAGTTGAAGTTGGCCCTGTTCTAAACTTTTTTATTTTAGATTCATTTGTTTATTTTAAACGATGTACGAAAAAAGGCCAACTCTTTTAGACACACATAATCCATTTCCTATAACACTAACTAGATTACAAAATGTAAATGTATAAAAAAATATTATTCCTCATTACTTTATTGTAATAATACAGGTATTTCTCAAAAAATGATTGATTAAAAATTAAATCTATAAGAAAATAATCCAATTATTATTTTCCAGTTTTCCCGAACCACCAACAGAGCTATGCATGCAACAACCTGAGGATAATGAAATAGTGCATGGTAACTACTTCAATCCCGAAGATATAGACAATTTGAACGTTCATAACTGTCCGCCAAACACTACTCCCTTTGGCCATAAATGTGTACCTTTGTGCAAGCAAGATCAGCAAGATTTCCGAAAATCAGAAGCAGAAACTTTTGAGGTATTTACTGTTAATATTATCGACAATGTTGTGGATGTTTAACCATTTATTCGAAATAAGAATTATGTAAAGTACCTATACAGGGTGTATCTAAATAACACCGAAAAAATTCAAGGGGCGATTCTCCGATGAAAATTAATAGGGGTCTTTGGTATAACATTTTTTGAAAAAATCCTCCCCTGAAAAGTTACGCCCCTCCTAAAATTACAAAAAAAATGGTTTTTCTTTTTTATCTTCCACGTACATCAAGCTAAAGAAACCAAACTTGGTGAACATTATCTGTCAATAAAACTACACTTTTTGAATTTTTTTCAACCCTGAACTATTTTTGTAAGGGGTTGAAATAATCAACCCCTATGACATTTTTTCTTATAATTTTTTTTTCGATAAAATTTTTTCCTTTTAAAAAATATGTCTAAAAAACCCCATTCATTTACTAACTTTTTGATCTCTTCAAGTTTCTTCGAAAAGTTAAGGATTTATGACAAAAAAAAATAAATGTATTGTAATGTATTTTTAAAAAGATGAGCTGTTTAACGCGAGTGTATTTTGCCGAAAGATCTAGTGGCCTGTTCTTTACAATGGAATCCGTAGAAACAAATGTCAATGTCATTTATTGTCATATTAAATAACATTTTATTAAAAAACACTCAACCAAATAGTTGACCTATGATTCTACTAGGCTAAGAAGTTTGGAACTTAGACTAAAAGTGAACAAATGATGAATAATGTTATAACAGTAACAAAAAATAAAAATCTGTCGGATATTGACAATACAATCTACAAAAAATGTTGAAAATGATTGCCTTCAGCTTCAATACAAGCATCTACTCTTGTTCTCATAGAATTGCGTATGCGTTCAAATATTCCTGGTGAATTTTTTATCGTTTCACACCCTGCTACAATGCGGTTTCGCAAATCATTGATATCTTCAACTGGCCTTGAGTAGATCAAAGATTTCAGATATCCCCATATGCAAAAATCCAAAGGATTAAGGTCAGGGGAGCGGGCTGGCCAATTTACATATCCTCCTCGACCTATCCATCGATTGGCATACACCTCATCCAAGTGACGTCTTGCACGTATACTAAAGTGGGCTGGTGCACCGTCGTGCATAAACCATAAACGTTGCCTAATTTGAATGGGAACTTCTTCAAGAATAATAGGTAATTCTTCGAGAAGATGACAATATGAGTCACCATCTAATCGTCGTGGAAGAAAATAGGGACCAATTAAATGATCGTCGATAATTCCGAGCCACACATTTAATGAAAATTGATACTGATGATTTCCTTCAAAAAAGTCATGAGGATTTTCCTCAGCCCAAATATGATTGTTACGAAAATTTCTAATACAGTCTCTTGAGAAATTCGCCTCGTCAGTAAATAAAATATTTCTTAAGAACTGCGGCGCTTGGCCGATCATATTAATAAGCCATTGACAAAAAACCACACGTGGTAAAAAATCTCGAATCAGTAACGACTGCACCCGTTGGAGATGATAGGGATATAACTGTTGTTCTTTTAAAATTCTAAAAACTACCGAATGGCTTACATTTAGGACACGAGCTATTTTCCTGGTACTAGTTTCTGGGGATTCCTCAATTAAATTAAGTACGGCTTCATCGACAGCTTCAGTTCTAACTTCTCGGCTACGGCCACAGTCATGACTTCTCTTTTCAAATTTTCCAAGTTCCCGCAAGCGTTGGTGAATATTTGTGAACGTAGTATGGTGGGGTAATCTACGCTCTGGGTACTGTTCAGCATAAAGTCTTTGCGCTTCCAATGCATTACCGTTAGCATACCCATATGTAAAATGCATATCTGCCATTTCTAAATTCGAATAGTTAACCATATTTTCGGTTTATTAACTAATATTTTCTACACAAAATCATGAAACTTGTGAAATAGTAAGAAACAGTAACAATAAATGACATTGACATTTGTTTCTACGGATTCCATTGTAAAGAACAGGCCACTAGATCTTTCGGCAAAATACACTCGCGTTAAACAGCTCATCTTTTTAAAAATACATTACAATACATTTATTTTTTTTTGTCATAAATCCTTAACTTTTCGAAGAAACTTGAAGAGATCAAAAAGTTAGTAAATGAATGGGGTTTTTTAGACATATTTTTTAAAAGGAAAAAATTTTATCGAAAAAAAAATTATAAGAAAAAATGTCATAGGGGTTGATTATTTCAACCCCTTACAAAAATAGTTCAGGGTTGAAAAAAATTCAAAAAGTGTAGTTTTATTGACAGATAATGTTCACCAAGTTTGGTTTCTTTAGCTTGATGTACGTGGAAGATAAAAAAGAAAAACAATTTTTTTTTGTAATTTTAGGAGGGGCGTAACTTTTCAGGGGAGGGTTTTTTCAAAAAATTTTATACCAAAGACCCCTATTAATTTTCATCGGAGAATCGCCCCTTGAATTTTTTCGGTGTTATTTAGATACACCCTGTATATAACATATAACGTCTCGATAACTATACTTAAAGTTTGTACTTAATTCAGTTTACCTAGTACCTGTATTGATTTTTTTAAATATTAATTTACGAGAAGTTAACAATTTACTATTTTGTAAGAAAGCGCAATATGACGGATCTATATTTATTTGTAAGGCAGATATGGTCAAAAGAATGTCAAAATACAAATGTATTATTTGCTGGGCAACTAGGTTTAGTATTCATTCCTCTACTATTAGAGATAGACCTGTCAACATGTCCTCCAAGAAAAATTTGTAGCTAATAGAGTAAATATATACAGGGTGTTTACAAATTTGGACAGGACATTTGAAGAGTAAATGAATAGAGATGCGAAAACTCGATTGGCAGACATTTTTTGCGAATAGTATATATATACAATGAAAACTTTTTTGGAACTGCTGACTTCACCCGTAGCTCTGCCTCTATTTACAAGTGCTCGTACATGCCTATTTGAAAACTGCTGTACATAAAGATGTGCAACTAAAGATACAGAATCTTTATAAATGTTTACAAGCCACGTAACCGCCGACCTTAGGCAACCAACATTGCAGGGTTGGTACTGGTAGTGAAAAATCCCTAAATCTTGGCGTCACCAATATTAATGATTCGTTTGCAATGAATGATAAAAAACCGTTGCACTGATTGGTTGAATAGAGTCTTGTGAAAAATGACACCAATTACAGCCTGTGAAACAAAATGTTGTTTTAATGTAATCATGATCTTATATTGTTTTAACAATTTTTAAATTTAATTACCAATAATGTGAAGAAAATAAAATTACTGTTCCAAACAAAATTACTGGTCACGAGGCTGGTAATCATTTATGAAGGTTCTGTACTAAGCTAATTTAAACAAAATCAATTGTATTTCATTTACGGCATTCATCTTTCTTTATATGTACATTAGAAACGATTTTAGAGATCCTCGATAATTTTAAGCACTATTTTGTAGTTTCAAGGATTTTGATTACTTAAAGTGCTTATTAATGCATTTTACTTGCTATTAAAAAATCCTCTCCAAGTATGTATGCATCTTGTATATACAGGATGTCCATTTACCTACATACAACAAATCAACGTCTACTGTGATATAGCCCACAGCCCACTTAATATGATACCAAGAAAAAAAAATTGTCCTAAAACTGTTTTAGCTAGATAATTTTTATTTATTTTATTTGGTAGGTACATATCTTTGTTTACTTCAGTAAATTATTTAGTTTAGTAGTAGTAAAGTTATTTAGTATATTATTTTTAGAATAAGTAAGAAAATATGCATGTTATTTTTTTGATGTCCCTATCCCATTGAATATATAAACTTATTTGTTCGTATGCCCGTAACTATCTACCTTTAGATTTTTTAATAAAAAGTTGACTTAAAGGTATTTTGTTTCTTGGGAAACAGTGATATCTGCTGTGGATTTCTAGTCAAACAAGAAAATTTCTGCATTAGATGTATTAAAATACTCTCTCTTATATTTGGAAGGACAATTATATGTTTATAAAAAAATACTTCATAAAATGCATTATTACGATTATTCTAAAGTTATAAAAAAATATAAGTATATCTTTGGGGACAGTATTTACAGTCGTGGCATTCTTACGAACAGTTTAGAAATAACTCATATACATTTTTTTTCTTATTTCTTTCTATGCATAGAATCTGAATAAGATTTTATCTATCAATTTTATTTTAATCCATACATTGATATACACACAAAAAAGTTATGCAGTTGGAAAAAAATAATACTCTAAATATTTTTTTTGTATTCTAGAACATTTACCCAAATAAACAAAGATGTGTATCAACTAAGAAAGTTACCCGACATTTAAATTTAAAAAATGTATGTTTGACCTATCCTATATCTCAATAACCTTTGCAGTAATTTGATGTTAATATTCATAAAAAGAGGTTTAAAAAAAGTTTAAACCCTCTATAACAAGGGTCGGCAACTGGCGGACCGCGGTCCAGGTCCGGACCGCGGAAGGTAAAATACTGGACCGCCAAAAATTTTTTGAAAGTATAAATTACTCAAATAAATTATTTAAAAAATGATTTTTACGTTTAAGTGCCAATCTTATCATTTTTTCTAGTATTTCACAATTGTTTGAGTGTTTTGAGTTCTTAATTAGTAAGCAGATTAAATTCGAGTCCAAATTAAAATAAAAAAATTAGAAATATGAATTTTTTTTCTGGACCTCGTTAAAAATTTTCAAAAGTATCCGGACCCCACCTAAAATTACTTGCCGACCCCTGCTCTATAATAATAATGCACATGCATTCCACAATTTAAGAAATAATATATACCTACCTATATTATATGATCATCTTGACAATAGACATTTACTTTACTATTTTAAATAAATGACTCAACTATAATTTAGTGCTGGTGCAATGCACTGGTTAAAAATTTGATATATGAAAATATGTAACAAACATAGCACATTCAGCAAAGAGGAAGTGGTTTCTTTGGTTTTAAGATAAAATAATTATCAGCTTAAACCAGTACACTATTATTAAATGCAAAAATGACTGTTAAATCAAATATGATAAATATCATATATTATTAAGTTTAAAATCTTTTATGGGATTTCTTAATAAATCAATTTATAATCATCAGTTGTTACAGTGGTCGGATTAAGTGTTATTTCCCCATTTTTTTGTTATTTACATAATGAAAATAGAAAAACGACATATTGATTTTATATTTAATCAAGGCATACTACTAAAATGTAAAAATTTGAGCAGATTATTTTGAAATAGATTTAGGTATTTTAAAAATGTTTTCCTTTCACTTTTTGACAAAATTAATGCGTATTTAGTTTTTTTTTTTCTCTAAATTTTTTAGTGTTAATAAATATTTCTCAGTATTTGCAGTATTGCTAAAATAAACTCCAACTGAATTATATACATTTGAACTGCTACTTAAAAAAATTGAAGTATTGTAGAGGGCTTTGACATTGCAAAAAAAAGGTATGCATCATAGTGTGACTTGGTGATATCAAAAAATCGACCAGTCCGAGAACTTTGTACAAGTCATTACCTTCAGACAATTGGTAATTGCAATCACGTTCTATTAATTATGTTATTTATTTTACAGATTTGGGTGGCGGTATGGTCAATTATTTGTTTGATGTTTACAATATTTGCCTTAATAACGTTTATGATTCAGCCGAAAAGATTTCGATGGCCTGCCAGGCCAATTCTGTACCTTACCTCGTGTGGATTTGTAACCTGTACCATTTACCTTATAAGGTGGATAGAAGGACCATATACTTGTGCAGGTAAATTATACTTCATTAGTAAAATATATAGGCTGAAATACATTTTGTGGGGTCAGCCAAGGTTTTAAATTGTTACAGTAGAATTTTATTCGTTGCTGTTCGCTTCTCAAATTGTTTCGCCTAGCTCTTTATGGAAAATTTTCACTGTCGGTCAGTAATAATGGAATTGCAAATTTCAGTGGGATGCAAGATTGCAAATCTGATATCAGCCGCTAATTTCTGGAATGATAACTTGTAGTAATTGCAAGGAAAAATGTCACATGTTGAAAATTAAACATTTTTGAACACTTCTTAATAAAAACTTTTTTCCATTAGGAGGTACTTATGCCATAAGTATTTAAACATAATTAACTAAAACCTTGGTTAGATATAACGTGAATATCATCTGATCGTTATTATTTGAAAATGGATTGAGTGGATATCTAAACTTTCCGGATATTTTATTCAGCCTTGTTTCACATTCATTTAACTTACATTCACCATTTACAAAAATTTTCAATCATAAAAACAATTACCTATCAACTTAAAACTTAAAAGACATGTCTGAAAAACTGATTTTTTTAAGATAAAAAAACCGGCTTGTACCTTTTTGTAGATAATAATGTAGAAACGCATCATAAATATTTCGATGATATTTATTTGTTCAACTTCGGGTTTTACTAAAAATTATTTTCAACGGTACTTATTTCTGACTAATTTTGTAATTTTAGTTATGTTGAGCAAAATTTTTTTATTACAAATTTAACGATGTAGCGATTTAACGTCAAATAGCAAGATTTGGAAAACTGAAGCAAATGTTGTAAAATGTTCTCTTATTAACATGAATTAGTTATTATTTTGTTACTAAGATACAGCGGATGTTTTTTTTTAACAATTTTAGTAATTAAAATAAAATATGGCAGTTTGTCTCATTATTTTTTGTAATAGTGTTCCAGTAATTTAAATAATAATTTTCACACCTCAAATCTATTAAGAAAATATGATGATGAACAAATAATACAAGTTGAATGAATATCAAGAGGCGACTTATTAATATTTATGTAAATGTATACAGCCTTCATAAATGATTACAAGCAAATTAAATTTCGGTAAAATTAAAACAATAATAAGATCAAGATTACATTAAAACTCATTATCTCGAGTGTACTCGTAACGGTTTGTCATTGTTTTTTGTGAACAAATCATTAATATTGGTGACATTAAGATTTAGGGATTTTCAGTTGGCAGTATCAACCGTGCATTGTTGGTTGCCTAAGCTCGGCGGCCAGGTGACTTGTAAACATTTATAAAGGCTATGTATAAAAACTGTGTCATCAAAAAAACAAGAAATTCGTTTGCTTGCGTTTTTTAACAAAATCAGCTTGAAACTACCTTTTAGAATCTAAAATATGTAAAATTGTAATGCTTTCTATATCTTAAATTTTATTTAAATTACTAGAATTGTTGCAGAGATGTTTAGGAAACAATAAAAAATGAAAGCTGTATCAGAAAAGTATTAAAGTATTGTCTTATTTTTTGATGTGCACCAACTATGACACATTTTTTGAAACTCTGTCATCTTAGACATGTTAGTTTCTTATATTAGTGGAGTAAAATTGGTGCCGAAATATTAATTTGAGAGACTTGAAGTATAACCCGATGAAACTTATAGAAAAATTGCCAAGGAGACATCCGAAAATTCGTGCATTTGCAAACATACAGCGCATTATTTACGGAACGAAATAAGTTATCGATTCAATTTTTTTATACAACTGTACTAAAAACTTATAATGTAATAATAAGTGGTTGTCAATAGTCTGAAAGAATTATTTTTTTTTGTTACTGGTTTCAAAAACCTAAGTATTCTTATAAAATTGTTATAAATTAAAAGTTACAATTTTGAAAATGTTTAGATTTATAGATTTTTTAAAATTTTAATAATTATTAACTAAACGAATGTGTACTAATCTTTTTATTCCCTATTACTTCTTGTTTCATACATAATATCTCACAACCAATTACTTACAAAAAAATTAAAATATTTATGATTTCTTTTTTCTTTGCATAAAAATAACCACCATAGTTAATTGATTTGGTTATTTACCATTTAAGCACTTCGGGCAGAAATTATATCGATTTACTTGTCAATAGTGTATAATGAATTTATAAGAGCAGCGTACTCAAATGAAATAGAGCTACACTGCGTTGTTCCACCAAATCAAGTGTTCTTTAAAAATTCGATAACTTTATAAACGTTAAAGATAGCAACCTCATATTTTTTTTAAACTTTTGCAAACATTAGGCTATATTCATTCACTGCATATATGGTGACTTTTTCAATATTTCACTTACCTTCCCGCATCTTGAAGTTTTAGATGCAAGCATTTGTTATTTCTAACTTATGTGCTCAATTTATGAAAAATCCGTTGACTTTTTGAAAATTCCAAATACACCATAAGAACCGCTCAAGTTTTTACTACAATTGTATAAAAAAATCGAATCGATAACTTATTTTGTTCCGTAAATAATGCGCTGTATGTTTGGAAACGCACAGATTTTCGAAAGACTTCTCGGCCATTCTTGTGGGCCATTTTAAAAGTTCGGTCCTACTAAAAAAAGTTTTAATCTCCCATTTCTTATAGCTAAAAACATCTAGATGGTATAAGTTTCATCTGGTTATACTTCAGGGTCACCTACTTCAAGAATTAAGCGATTTTACTCCACTATACAGCGTGTTTCTAAATAAGTGGCGCAACGGAAAACTGTAAATTCCTCTTGAAAAGAGAAACATTTATAACTTCCATTTTTCTCTCCGGGCTTTCGTTTTCGAGATACACGGTGTCAAAACTTTTTTTCAGATTTTTGCCAATATCGTAGGAACCGTTTGAACTACAGGACTGAGCTTTTGTACACACATTACCACTATTAATAGCTACTTGTTGCAAGTGTTGTTAAATTTCGTTAAAATTGTTAATTATTACTATCTATCTTTTGAATCACAAAAGATTTTCGACAACGTTAGCAAAATGTTTGTTTTTGTTCATAAAGTCATTTTTCTTGAAAACGGTTGACTTTAGAGCAATGAACCAAGAGAACTCTTTTTGTGTAAAATTCATTGGCACTTCAGAATTTGCTGTCAAATGTCAATTTTTCCAGTGGCGTAAAAGTTAGGGGGGGAAAACCCTTACGATACCTTAAAATCTCCACCACTGGCACGTTCAATAAATTTGAGAAGGGTGTGAAAAAGTAGCTATTAATAGTGGTAATGCGTGTACAAAAACTCAGTCCTGTAGTTCAAACGGTTCCTAAGATATTGGCAAAAAATTTTAAAAAATGAAAGTTTTGACACCGTGTATCTCGAAAACGAAAGCCCGAAGAGAAAAATGGAAGAGGAAAAGAATGTTTCTTTTTTCAAGAGGAATTTACAGTTTTCCGTTGTGACACTTATTTAGGAACACCCTGTATGTATTGTGAAACTATTCTTTCGTTAAACGGTTATAACTGGAATTATTTAAAAAAAAAATGTTTTTCTCTGAAAAACATTAGTTTTTTGTTCATATCTTTTTAAATTAATGTTTAGTTTCCATAGAACTTGACTTATAATATATCATATTCATATCATATTTGATTTTATTTTATTCCATTCAAATTTCTTAATAATGAATGAGTAAATTGTAGTTAACAGCAAATTGTGGATAACATATTATGCCCATATTATGTGAGATTGCAGGGTACAAGCTAAATAGTAATAGATGTAAAAAACGAATGCCACATGTCCTTTTTTCGTGCTAAATTTTGCAATCTGAAAATCTGTTACTTAGGATTTGTATTTTATATCTCAGTCGTTGTGAGATATCAAAAAAATAACTTTAATAAAACATTTATTGATTGCATTAATAATTTCATTATTAAGATATTTAATTTAATTTCTCTAATTAAATCATGTTCGAACACTAAAAAGGGCTGTGGAAGTTTCGTTTTTCTGTCAAATATCCTTTAATTTGACAATGACTGTGGGCAACATCACAATTATCTTGGATTTTCTTATACCACTAAACTAAGCTTCAAATATGAGACACCTTCTACAGTGCAATCCCATTCAAAATGGGCTATCCGATATGAATGAGTAATATCTTGTCAGAAACACTCATTTGTTGATATTATGTTGTTTCACTAATTTTAGAAATGAAATCTAATTAAAATATCAAATTTTCAGGTGTCTCGCTATTGGAGAAACCAGCGGAAAGTCTCTCTTGCGTAGGAATATCTCTAATATTACTCTTCTGTGATTTGGCCTATTCGCTGTGGTGGTGCATTTTTTGTTTTGTGTGGTTCCTCAGTGCCATGAAAGAGTGGTCTACAGAGGCTATCGAGAAAATATCCACCCGGTTGCATACTACTGTATGGATTTTTTCAGCGATACCCATGTTTTACATTTTAATGTCTAACAATATTAACATAAATTACCTTTCTGGATTTTGTGAGGTGAAAACACTAGCCTTAGTGCTTTTTCAATTATTTTTCATGTTGGTAAGCTGTGCCTTAGCAATCTTGATGCTGATAGCTTTAAGAAATGTAAGAAACACTTTACTCTTAGCTGGTAGATCCCCAGAAAAGCTGGAAAGATTGTTTTATAGATTACTTATAATTAGTTTAGGTATATTCATACCACATTTTTTATATTTGATTTGTCAGTTTTATGACACATTCACGATGGCTTTATTTAAGTTAGTTTTAAGGAAAATCAGTATTATTTTTTCAACTCTTTGGGTTTATTCTCCTAAAACTTTCGAAATGTGGAATGATTTAATTTGCTTTTGCAGACGTAAACGTAAAAATGAAGTAACAAAAGAGGGCAGTATCTTTTGCTCACAGCTTTTTCCAAATTTGTTTCGAAACAGTGGGCCGACGGCAAAAGTAGGAAATAATAGTTCACCACTAATGCCTCAAAATAAGAATGTCGATGAGAAGAAAACAATATTTGGACTATTTTTTTCTAGAAATAACGCTCAGCCGCTACCTGTCAGTAGAGTGTAAAAAGATAATATAGAAGATATTTTTGTTATTTATTATTGTTAAGACAATTTGTGATATTAGATGTAATTATTTTTATATACTTTTTATAACTAACTTTTGGTAACATATTACTTAACTACATACATGACAAATAAAGTATTTATGTTTTATATGATTTTAATTCATTTTCCTTATTTATCCAATAAATATGTCGACAATACACCATATTCATGGGGTAAATAAGACAATCTAACTAAATTTGCCCCTATCCAAGGTTGGCTAAAAATTTTATTTTATATGGTTATTTATTTATATTCGACAATAATAGAAACATATTACCTGTTTTATATTGCGAATTTCTTCATGAAGAAGCTGGACAAGTATAATTTGTGATACTTCAATCAGCACGTTTTTATAAAAAATGATACGTGAATAAAATTAAAATAAGAAAATGTATTAATTTTCAATTTGTCTTTATTTACTATGACTTGCTTACAAAGTTGGTAGTAGCTGTTTTTGTTTCAAATAAATTCAGGTCAGGAAGTTTAAAATAATGCAGTTGTACAGTTGTAGAACCAAACCCTTTATGAATAAATTCATGGAGACTACACGTCTTCCTGAATAAATTGATTAATTAATTAATTCAAGTTATTTAACAGCAGATTTGGTGCATTACCTACACTAGTCCAATTTTCTCAGGAAAAAACGTGTTTAGTGATTTTTAACATAAACAAGGTTGTCATTATATCTTTAAATTAAAATACAACCAACATTTGCTAAAAAATTTAAAAATTAGAGCTAGTATCCTATTTTTACAATTTCTTTAGGAATTTATTGCGACCCATAAATTGACGACAATTTTGTGCAAGATATAATAATTAATTCAAGTGCAAAAATTTATTGATTTCTTTCATTAAAACGGTCATATAAAATGGAAAATTATATACCTATTATATTTCAAGAGGGATATCGAGACTGCCCTCAACTGTAATAATTGTAACAATTTAGGAATTTTAGGGTTGACTAATAAGCCAGAGACAATTAATAAGCCACAGTAGGGGTGACCATTGGTTTTATAAGTTATAAGAAGTTAGAATTATCCATTCATTGTTTGTATCAGATTACTAACAGGAAAGTTCGTATGTCAAGAATTTTAAGAAAATGATTTTCATTGATAAAAAATACACTTTGGAAGAACTTCAGGGACATTTCAGATTAGCTTGTAGCATTCCAATAAGCTGTAACATTACATTAGAGTACCCGTTCGTTTTCCTCTGACCCCTCACGCGCCCTCTATTATTTTACGGATGAGCTGATGAGCAGGATGAGCTACATAGAAAATAGAGGAATCCTATATTTTCTATGATGAGCTATGGTTGTTTTGTGGCACTGTTTTTTAATAAGTAAAATTTATATTAAGCCAAGTACAGACTTGCAACTACGCCGCGTTGCAAACCGCTTCGCGAACCGCGCCGTTGCTGTTTCGACAGGGACTAGAACCACAGCTTAATACAGCTAGAAGTGTCCGTGTCGGCGCTTTTGATGTGGCGGTGGCCATTATTCCATGGCTAGAAATTGGCCTCAATGATTTGGGATCGAGGGGGATTATCCCTCTTTATCCTGCCTCATCTCGTGTAGACCTGGACAGCCTTCGTAGGTGGGCCCCATCCGTCGTCTACCCCGACCGCAAATGCGGCCGGTGTAGGCGCTTTGTGGGACCTCCTTTTGTCCTGGCTGGGCCCCGTCGGCTAGGGCCCTTCTGGCACTCTTTTTGCTTCGCCGGCTCGTCTGTGTGACCCCGGGGGTAGTGTCATGTTTATGTGTGGTATGGTTGGGTAGGGTAGTGCGGCTATGCAGCCTGGAACGCGCTTTGCTAAGGTGGCCCTTAGCCCAGCGCGGGAGGGGAGGGGAAAGGAGGGTATGGGGGGTGTGTATGTGTGCGTGTGTGTCGTTGTCTTCGTTTCTTGATCCTGGCTGTCTCTGAAACAGAAAAGGTTAGCGGGTAGGGGGGGGGGAGTCGTTGGGGTGGTCACCCAGGGTCAAAAAGTTGATGTCTAGGTCTTTTGTGTTTGTCGGTCACGTCGGGTACGTAGTCAACGGCTTGCCTGAGGAGGGGATTGTCATGTCTAGCGGCTACGTCAAACCGTTTCTCCGCGTTTTGTCTTATTGTCTGTGTAGCGTTTGTGTATTGTAAGTCTCGTAATATGTCAGTGTTTCTTACGTACCAGGGCGCGTCGGTGGCCGTGCGGAGGGCTATGTTTTCCACAGCCTGTATTGACTTTAAGTGGCTTTTTGCCACGTGACCTCACGCCGTGGAGGCGTAAATTAGCTGCGGTTGAAGTACCACCTTGATAAGCGTTCGCTTATTCCTTAAACTGAGGGTGTTTCCACCTTTGAGTAAGGGATAGAGCCTAGCCATGGTGGTCTTTGCTCGCGCCACCGTCTCCACGATATGCGGTTTTCACGTGAGACGCTGGTCTATCGTCACGCCCAGGTATCGTGTTTGTCGATTCCAGGAGAT